AGCGCCTGCGGGAATTCTTTCCAGCTTCTTCACAGGGCCGTTCGTTTCTGCGGCGCTAAAACTGCAGTTTTGCTTCTTTTGGAGGGATTTCCTTCCCAAAAAGTGAAGGGTGAAGCGCCAGAGAGCTCCTGTCCCACCCCGCCCCCGCGGCTGCACAGCCCCAGAGCTCCTTCTCCATCATTTCCGCCCCCCAAACTGCACATTTTTGGCACTGGGGGGACACAGCCTGGCTCAGATGGAAGCTGCAGATGGAAAATGGCTCCAGAGCTCTCCATCCTGCTCCGATTCCCCCCAGTATCCCTCATCAATGCCCAGACCCACAGGACTGGGGGCTGTCCCTGTGTCCCCCGTGCTGGGACACCCCACGAGCCCCTGCCTCTCTCCCGGGCTCTGTTCCCTCACCACATATGGCGTCTCCATGAGTAATAAAAGCTGCTAATTGCCAACAGATGCCCCAGGAAACCCTGACGCCACCTCTTGAGTTTGTGTTTGGCTGGGAAGGAGAGGAGGGGAGCTGGAGCAGGCCCTGGATCCCCCAAAGCAGGGGGTGGGGGGATCCCAGAGCGTGGCAGCTCCCAGAAACCAGAGCGAGAGGATGTGGCTGCCATTAGTGGCAAACCAGCGGGAGAACAGCCCCACGAGGGAACAGTACCCCTGACCCACGGCATCACCCTCACCCCACGCCCTCCACAGGGCTGGGAGCCACAGCCCAGCCCCAAGGCAGCCCCTGTGCAAGGGCCACATCCTGCCCCAGTGTCCCAGCACGGGTGGGACTGGGAGCAGCATCTCCTGGCCCGGCACACGGGGACACCCTATCTGAACTGGGCACTGGCCACCAGCCCAAACTGGGCAGCCTCCTTTGCCTGTGCCAAGCCTGTCCTCTTGGAAGCCCTCGGGAAGCTCAAGGTGGCCTTTCCCAGACAGAAGCAACAGCCAAGACCAGGACCTGCTTCCCAATGTCACGGCAGCCACGCACCCCTCCCTGGCACCTTATGGCACACCACGGCAGCAGGGCCTCAGTGCCACGGCCCAGCC